TGATCTGGGAATTTTTTTGTCCTTGAGGATTCTGGCCAATGCTGAACCTCCAAGAAAATGGATGTTGATGGGATCACTTACCCTCCTGCATTTCACAGAAGATGCACAGCGCCCTTTCAGACTGGCTCAGCTGGATAGCAGAATAAGTCTTCTGGCATTACTTTGTGTGTGAGTTTAGGCTTTAAAATGCTGTTCTGTATGTCCAAAAATCTCAGCATTGACTTTTGAAACAAAAGAAAATGCGGGATTACCTCTGCAGGGGCTGAGCTGCAGGTCTGTTTGAATAGCATCTTTTCTTTGGATGGCAGCTAGTACCTGCTGCCTCAGAATAATGTGAGGGACCTCCTCTTATTCTACAGCATGGTAATGTAGATGTGGATCTTCAATTCCAGATCATTACTGAAAGTTCACAAAGGTTTCTATTCCAGGAAGGAGGAAAAAAAAAAAATTCTCACTTCAGAGTGGGCTGCTTTGTTGTTGTCGGTATCAGTCAGAACTTCTCAGGGGCTTTCCCCATTTTAGGGACACTTCTTGAAAACACATGCCATGATACTTGCTTTTGATCAAGCCACCTCCTGTTTCAGTCATGGCAAGGTAATGGATTGCCAACTTCCCCATCTCTCAGCTGTCATGCTTTGAACCCATGTCTGCTTTTTGCTTTAGTTCAGGCTTTTGTGCTTACCTGGGCAGCGATGTATGGAGTGGGTATGTAGCCTGTGATTATGTAGACTCTAGTAGCTATTTTCAATAAGATTTTCTTGCTGTTGGGGTGTTTGGTTCACTGGTTACTCAATCCAAGTTTCCAGTATTCATCTTTGTGCTCACTTGCAAATGCTCAAAGCTGTTTTTATTGATTACTGACAGCGGTTAGAGTATCCTATATCGCTGTAAGATTGGCAGAGTGTTTACTCCATGGAGTGAGCAAATTGCAGTTCTATCTCCATTTGTTACACTTGGGTTGTGACAGCCAGAGCTTTGTACCTGGAGCAGAAAGGCTCCCACAGTGCACTAGCAGTCTTCTGCTTCTCTTCTGTTGTGTTCAAGAGTATCTTTGTGCAGGTCTGCTCCCTGTCCTGTTCTTTTTCTGTGTGTTTCAGTCTTGCAGGAAGGTTGTTTTGTAAGGAAATGAGAGCCATTCCCATGGACAGCCTGATGTCTAGTCAGCTTTCAGGAAAAAACCCCACATGGTTCTTGCATATGGTGCCGCTGACAGCTGGACCTGAATTAGGGTAAAAGTCAGCTTTTCTAGCTGTCCTCTTTCCACTGGAGTATTGCTTCCAGAGCTCTGCTTGGTGTGGACTTTAACTCTTCATTCATGTAATTCATGAACTTTAATACTTCATTTAATGACTACCCTGGGAAAATTATATTTCTTGCTGCTAGGCAGTCTTTTCCTGATAGCCTTGCCAACATTTTCCCTTAGTGCTGGTTCTGTTAGTCCTGGCTCTAGCCCCTGATGTATTACAGTTTTCTTAATGTTTGTGTCTTTCATTCGTTAAAAGATCCTGGAGCCTTTTGATGGATGAGGCTGTAAATCATGACAAGGCCAGGGGTTCCCTGTTGTTTGACTACTGGGATGTTAAGTAGGAAAGAAGTTCAGTCAAAATTGGGTGTCATTTTCCTTCCAGGAGTAAAAACTTCTTGGTAAGCATGTTTTTTTCAGCTGTGGCACATCAATAAATAGTCATGAGGCTAAAAATGCTAAACTAAGGTAGTTTAGGGAATACTTTTTTGTATGGAAGTTTATGGTGAACTTGCCACTCTGCTTTTTTTTTTTTCTCTCCTCCCCTTTGCCCCCGCAATCTTCGCTTGAAAAGCATTTGATGTAATAAACCAGAAAACTCAGAGAGAGTTGCTGTTTGAGCAGCTTGACATCCTGGAGAGAGTCCTTCATAGACAAGTGGCAGTAGCATGTCCTGTTGGACAGTCTGACTGTATCTGAATGTGGCTGTGGATGAATTTTGTCGGCATATTTGTAGGAAATCACTTGAAACACTTGAACTGTGACTTGTGAAAGGGGCAGCAACACCTCTGCCTTGGCGGGGAATGCTGAGGTTCTTGCACATGTCTGTTGGACACCCTCTGCTCTTGACCTATCAAAAATGGGCTTCCCCTGCCTGCCCATAAAGTATGTGCTGCTTGTGTCTGTGCTGCCTGTAGGGCAATAAAAGGGAAGAGTTTTTTTTTTTCTTTTGCCTTCACCTGTAGAGGAGGTGATCCTAAGTCCTTACACGTGAGGTTCAGTTGCTTTTATTCAGGTCTGCTTTGATGGCAGTAGCAAAAAAATAAAATAAAATTAAAAAAAAAAAAACAAAACAAAAAAACTCACCACCCAAGAAACCAAACTGAAAACCCAAACCCTCCAGCAGGCTGCAGCAAGAGCTGGGCTGAGCCTGGTGGTGCCAAGAAATTGGAGTATATTCCTAGGTTTTATCATCTGTGAGTTCTCTTGTTTGTGAACAGACCATGGGATGACTCTTCAGTTTTAGGCAGTGAAGTATTTCAAGGGCATGAAAAGCTGGCTCTTGTCACTACTTGCTTGATTTGTTATGGAAAATCTACTACAGGGTTTTTCTGCTAAATCACCAGAACTTGAAAAGTTTGCTTTGCAGTTAACTTTGTTCTCTCCGCTCAAACTCTAAATAATAGATATGAAAGGTTTATTAAGCAAATAAGTAAAACTCTCAGGGCTGTGAATTCAATGTCCCATAAGAAATATCTGAAGCCAATCACTTGCCAAACTGAACAAGTCAGGTATTACAGTTCAGAGAAAACAAATGATTATTTTGTTTATAGGCTTTCACATCAGGATGGGGGGGAGACTATTATCATCTCTGAGGGGGAAAAATGATTCTTGAAATAAATGTTTTTGCCCTGCCAGTAAGGCAATTTTATTTGTTCTTCTTATGCTTAGGTGCTTTTCTTGAATATTGCAGTAACAGGCACAACAGGCAGGTAGAAATGCAAACCCTTTAAATTCAGAAGAACTTTTTCTGTATCTGAAGGCTGCCTTGGATGGGATGTCTCATTTGTACTTAAGTCAGTTGCTGCATCTTTAATATTACAGTGTGCTCCATAATGCATATGTAGTTCTTCTAGGGAGAATTAACCTGGAATGACACTGTAGAGCAGATAGGCCAGGATGTGTCCACTCATAAATCCTGTGTAGCATTTTGCTTTAAGTAGCTAACAAATCTATACCAACATAGTGCCTTTCCTTTTTAAGTGGACAGCTGGGCCTAGTTCTGGGTTAAGTGATAGCTTGTGGGAGGAGAAGCTCTTTATTTAAGACTTAATAGTTAAAAGATGAAGGTTTTTATCTCTTTTCATCTCCTTCCTTATGCATGAGGCTTATCCAGTAATATTAATGTTTTACTGTTGAAGCATGTTGCTGATAAATGAAGATCAAGTCTCAAGAAATGAGTTTTTAAACCCAGCAAATGACAAGTACTTAATAGAGTGAGGTTTTGAAGTGTTCTAGAAACCAATGAAATCCTGCCTAAAAACTCAGCAAACTGAGTGAAAGGAAGTAGAAGATGGAAGCAGCTTTCCCCTTTAGTAGGGACCATGTTTTGTCACTGGTTGTTAGAAAATACCTTCCTGCACAACCTTCCTGCAACTGGGAGCAAAGACTTACTCAAAATGGTGATAACCTCTGTCCCTAAGTGTTTTACCTTCCTTACTCCCTTCTAAAGTGCTTACTAGGAACTCTGTTTTGTTTGTGAACCTATGAGTCTATGTGGTCTTTTGATTTTTTTTTCCTCTTCTGGGGTACCTTTATTTTCTGAAATTTTGCTCAAGTACAAAAGAAATCTGTCTGCGTGTCTAGGAACGGCTAGATTACTTTCCCTGTTTGTGAAGAACACAGTTTGGCAAGTCAAGAGCACTGGTTTTCTTAGTGATGCTAAAGGTGGGGAGACTCAGACTGGAAGCATTTCTATGATCTTCTTGATGTCTGTGGCATAAAAGAGGCTTGGATATGAAATACCCTCAATTTTGTGAAAACAAAATGTCCTCTGTTGGTTTTTGTTTGTTGTTTATCCATAACTCCTTTAATATTTCAAAAAAGCCACAAAGGACTGACAGATTACAAGTTGCATGAAATATCAAAGTAATTATTTACACTTCCATGGTTCTTTGTGCAGACATGAAACAATAAATACCCATAAAGTCTCAGAAGTGACACTTATACAGCGGGGGATTCACAATTTCTTATGTGCTAGGGTTTGCTTCTCCTGCTTGTAACTTTATGCTAATACGTGATATTCCTGCATTTGGTTTTAAGTAAGCTCCAAAGATGTAACTGTCTATAAAGCAGTGTCTGCTGGAAGCCAAACGTAGGTGGGATGCTGCAGCTCATCTGTCTGGAGTTGACTGTGGGGCAGGAGGGAACAGCCTTTTGTTGCAGAGCCTTTGGTGATCACTGAATTTTGGTGGTGCACATGGCTGTTGCCATGGGTGACTTGTGGAGAGCCAGCTTCTACTCTGTAAACTGCTGGGCTGTCTAACTCATTGTAGTGATGTGGCTTTCTTCCCTGACCTGCCCCAAAAAACTGGGACAATAGCGGCTTCTCACTCCAGGCAACTGCGTGTCAGGCACAAAATGGCTTGTTCTGTCTGGCTTGTGTTCTGCAGGGAGATGAGGTTATTGCAGAATCATGAAACACTTGGGTTTAAATCCTAGAGTCCCTCTCACTCTCAAACGAGATTCAAATACCTTGTTTCTTAAAATGTCCTACAGAATTTTATTGCTGTGTTAGCAGAACAAATCTTGTGTGTTGTGTGGAGTTTTTTGTTTTCTAAATTTACTGTCCTAAATTACTGAAGGGTCAGTGTCTAATGAGAAGAGGGATAGGATGCAGGATTACATGAATGCAAGAATTCATGTGTGGGCACTCATGTCACTTTTAAGTTTAGCAGGTCTCTGGCTAAACTGTGCCACAGTGTTTAAAATGTCATGGTTGAACCTAAATGGTTGTAATGCACTGTCTTTTAAACAGAGAGAACATGAGCTCGAGGAAGGAGATGTTGGAACGAGCTTGACTCGAGAGAATGCTGGGAGGAAGGAGGGTGAAAAGAGAGAGATGATTACCCCGGCTCTGAGAGAAGCACTCACAAAACAAGGTGAGGTTCTGTGAAGACCAGATGGTAGACCAGGCTTTGAAGTCTTAGTGGTAGACTTCTAACAGAACAAGTGGAAGATGGTGTTCCTTATGTTAAAGATACGGCTCTGCACTCTTAGTCATGGTAGGCTCTACCCAGAGGCAGGGGCTGTTTGTACCTCATTGTTCCAGGGGAAGAAGCTAAAGTTAGGTAATGCATCTGTGTGATGCATGCTATAATGTGTGGAGAGTGTATCAAGAGTTTGCAGGGTTTAATGTATCTGCTAAGATACATTGAGAGAGAAGGTGATAGTCCCACATGCCTCTAGCTCCCACAGTGTAGGTTTTTCAATATTTAAGGATCAGCTTTGTGTCTGTTTTGCATCTTAGTCCCTTGCTTTTATTTCAGTTTCAAACTCTGATTTTGTTACTTAAACTTTATTTCCAGAAAAGGAAGTAGTTCAAACTAACTGTAACAATCCACTAGATGATTAGATCAGCAGTTCTCCTGTGAGCTGTAGAGAACAGTTTTAATGAACTTAATGCCTTTTTTAAAACAAAGGGCAAGCATGAGAAAAGCCAGACTGACAACCTTGCAGTTCAGAAGCCTCAGTCCTGAGTGGCAGAGCCAGGAGAAGGGTGATGTGAGCTCCCCTATGCTGCTCAGATGGAGACTAAAGGCAGTTTAGTCTCATTTCTTTTATTTCTTAGGATGAGAGTGTGCTCAGTTTTCTTGCCTGCTAAATCGTTAGTATCTCTCCTGATGCTTCTGTGAAGGCACTTCTGGTTATTGCAGTGGAGGCACCTTGCTACAGAGCTGGGCTCTGAAGTTCTAACTATGTTCTGTGTGAGTCCAGCAGCTGTGGGATCCCAGCACCTTTGCTCCCCAGGATCTCAGCTGTTCTCTGGCCTGAGCTTTTGTAGGTGACCGGTGTTGCGTTCTGCCCGTCAACTCTGACGTGTTTGGTCATTGGGTTTTTTCATTAACCTTAGCACAACTATAAAATAAAGAGCCAATCTTTAAATTTGTAGTCTGAAGGAATAAAGCAAAGGCTTAGCAAAGAGTGTCAGTGACTTTGCCTCCTCTTCATGTCCATTGTGGTGTGCTGCTGGCTGGGACCAGTGGAGGGATTGTAGGAGGCTGGTTCAATACATCTTTCAGCTTTGATTCTGAAGGCTGTAATGTGGTGGCAGTTACACTGCACTGTAATGCAGAACAGCTGGAGCACTGTTACAGCCTTTTATTTTTATTTATTCATTTATTTAGTTATTACTGTCTGTTTGATCCAGAAGTCTAATTGTTCTGTCTGCCTGCGAGGGTGTTTGGAGGACAGGTGGATTTGGCTAGCAGGGCTAGGGGAGTGGGCTGCTGGGGGAGTGGGCTGCTGGAAGCATGGCTGTCTGGAAATGGGCAGTGGGGAGGTGAGCATGCTTGTCTGCTCTTTTGAGAGGTTAAAGGGGCCACTGACTTTATGGAAGGGTGCACTAAGTCCCCCTGACATCTCAGGTTTTGTTTTGGGACACAAGAACCCTAGAAGGTGTGTGGAGACTGCCTGTGGCACTGACTTCTGAGAGGGGAGTAGTGTGTTGTTCTCAGTACACTGCTCTGGCTTTTTTGTGGTGCAGGGCCCTGTTGTGCTGTGGTAGTCCCAGTTGTGTTTTGCACTGGCTCGCTTTCAGACCCAGGCTGCATTCATTCAGGTTTGGGGAACGAATGAATGAAACAGTACCTTTCTAATGGTATATAAAAAGTGGTCATTTGAAAAATGAAAACGGTGCTGGAGGGAAGGTCACCTTCCTACCATAATTTTTTTGACACAAAGGCAAGCTCCCCCAAGAACTCAGATTTCCTTGTGATGTTCCAGGGACAGAAATTCGTTATCCAGATAAGTAGGTATGTATTTCTCTCTTCCTTTGACATTCAGGATAGTACCAGCATTGGATCAACTAGTAGGATCTACTTACTTAAATCTGCAGTTTCAAAGACTTAGACTATTGTGTCTGTATCCTTACAGTTACAACTGCCTCTTGCTGGCACAGCCTTCCCCTCCTTTCCTCTGCTACTCATGTAATTCTTTAATGGTCACTCAACAGTGGGGAAGAGAAGCTGCCTTTCTTTTTTTCACGTCATATAATATTTTTTTCTACAAATAACACACCAAGACAGGCTTATGTGGCAATAAAACAACTCCCTCCTTCCCTCAGCAGCATTCCCCCCAAAATAACAAGTGCAATGTAGTCAAAAGGTAATCTAATTTATTTAGCAACAACTGATTGCTTTGGGTGTAGGTTCTGTGTCTTTTCAAGATTATCCCTGAGGGCATAATTAGCCCAAGAGAAGTAAAAACTAGTACTTGTGATTCAGGAGAAAGCTGTTCTTTTAAATTGTAGTTGCATAACAGAAGTTTGCCTTTGAACAGCATCTTGTCAGACTATTGTAATGCTTGCCTTTTTTGTTTTGGTTCACCTTCAGACAAACTTACCTTCCTGTAGGTAAACTGAATATTGCTTAAACAATGGTTGTATTTTAGCACTGGCATTGAATTTCAGCTAAATATAACCTCAGCTATTGGGTTATATAGGGTAGTTGCCTGGTTGCAAATACCTTTATAAAAGATGATCTGTAATAGTCGCTTTTTAAAGTCGTAGCCCATCTTGTGTTGTGAGAAAATGTTGATTCCCTTTCCATCACTGTTCAGGCTTGCATAAACAAATACAGCACAAACTCAGTGCCTCTAAGTAACGAATACAGCTGGAGAGAGGGAGAGGCTGACAGTTGAAGTACTTGGCTCTGTTATATTTGCAGTGGTACCATTTTGCTGTGTTAATGCTTCAGTAATTTCATCTGTTTAGGTAGAAGTCATGAAATAAACTGAAAATAGAAGCAAAATTTCATGTTAATGTCTCCTGTGGTGATTAGTAGATACAGCCTAACGTGTTCCCATTTGCTTTCTGCAGTTTCTTGTAGATGGTTGAAACTATCCCTGCTGGGCTAAAAGGTTTTTTTGCTTGGACTGGGTACCAGGAGGATTTTGTACATAGTGAAGTCTGCCTTTCCAGAGCTCCTAATTGTTGGGCCCTTCACTGATTTTTCAGGAAGTGCATTTAAATCCTTCTTTAGCTTTAGAGGGAGTCTCAAGCTGCTGTTTTAATAGGAAAGCTGCTCTAAAAAAAAAAAAAAAAAAAAAAACACAACCCCCCCCCCCCACCGTGAATCCATGGGGGTTCTTTCAGTGTCCCCTGTATCAGCTATGCTTATTTTATGAGTACAAAAATACTGATTATCTTTTACAGTTTCCTGCTGCTATAAAGTCAGTACAGCAGTAGTGCAAAGACCTGTGCTCTGTTTGGGTTGTTAACCATCATTAGTCTTCACTGCTCTTTGATTTGCCAAATGTTTTATTGATAGTGATGGTCAGACTGAAAGCCAAACAAATTGTCATGCTGAATACAAAAGAAAAGGCTGGCAATTGGGGGAATCGTGCTTATACTGCAGTTAACTTCTCAAAATATTCGGAGGTCAAAGGTGATGTTGCACAGTGACAGCCGGTTTCATCCCTATCAAGTTACAGTTGTATTTAGCAGAGCTTCAGGTTGTCTTTTGCTTCTCTTAAATGTGCAGGAATAAAACAGAGGAAAAACAAACTCAAAACCCTGAAGAGCGGATCATTTGCTTAAGAGACTCCAAGGACCTGGGTTTCTTAAACTGCTCATACCATATATTTCTGACATACTATTTGTTTTGTTCTTTTCTACTGTAGCACTACTACATACAACTGTGCTTTTTGTGGTAGGCAACACAGTGGGAATGGATTAATGATACCCAAAGACTGACCCCACCGACATTGTATAAATTATTCTGTTTTGTCTCTGCTACCACAGGTTTGCTGCAGTCCAGTTGGATTGTTCTGTCTTTACTGGTTAAGTGAGCCTACAATTTAGCACCAGGGTGTCCAGGATACCTCTATTTTACTTGTATCTAAAGGCAACTGGTGTTATGAGACATCTTGTATCTGAAATAGTATGGGCTGCTTCAGTAACTGCTTGTTTTTATGCTTTGACTTCATGGTTGATAGAAAGACATGCTTTGATCTATGTTTTTCAGTGCGTATGGGCAATCAGGAGGCTGACTTCAGAAAAAAAATATTGAAGACTGGGCTTTTTCAAGTGTTTACCAAACTTGTTTGAGAATATTTTTTTAAAAGTACTTGGTGGTTTTTGCTGTCCATTCTTGGACTGAGGTTTCCAGTGCCTGCAGCTCTGAGCTCACCATCTCAGCTGGCTCACTGTGCTGAGTTTTTTGAGCGTCTGGACTTTGGAAATGAGATCCACTGTGAAAAGATGTTGCACAGAGTTTGATGCTGCTGGATATATACTCTTGCAGGCTGTGCGCTAAAATGTTTGCATGCATCTTTGGGATTTGGCATTCTTTATGTATAGCTATTAAACTCCAGGTGGCACTAGCAGCTCACAGCTGGGTCAGGGATTAATAACACTGGTGCAGTCCCTGAAATGTACCACAGAATGCAAATACTGGCCATGGGAAGGTTAAAAATTAGTTTGCAAAATAGAAAATTATCTTAGTAAGCAGAATAAAAACAGTGACCAAAACCAGACAGCTAAGCCTACTAAACTTTCTTGCAGTTCCTTAGAAAATGTCTGTATAAACAGCAAATACACAGTTAAAGGGGAAGAATCCAGGCAGCAGAAGATGCTGAAGTCCCATAGTGTGGAAGCTGCCAAGAGCTGGTGGTGAGCTGACTGCAATACTAATTCGCTAGTGCAGATATAGCAGCTTATCAGGAGCAGAGTAGATGGGGAAAACTTGGTTTTCTGATTTTTCCATTGTGTAGCTACTGGAGCCGGTGGAATTACCCCATGTATAATAGAGGAAAATAAGCATAAATGCATTTGTATTAGAAGTGCATCCTTTTTTTTTTTTTAGGTTTTGGAAGGGCTTTGGAAAGTATTGGTCTTTGAAATTAACTCTTAAACTGGTACAAAATACAAGATATATTCAGG